ATTTACACCCTGAATTTTGATAGTAAACACAAGTTAGATTTGTCCGTTTTTTTATGCTCTTCAGCGCTAGAAGAGGCCTTAGAGGTCATCTAGTTTAAACTTCTCTTTTTACCAATGAGGAAACTGAGGCCCAGAGAGGTTAATAGATTTACTCAGATTTAGCTAAGAGATTTAGCTAGATTAAGTGCTAGATAGGAATCCAAAATCAGTCTCCTAAATCAGACTCAATTCTTCCTCCTTTCTGTCGACAGCCTCGTCTACAGAAATATATGGTAATACGAAAGCCAGTTTGTTGACATAGGAAAAGAGAAATGAAACTTGTCTTACTGAAGCTGGTTACTTAATAGCAGTAAGCAGGGCCTGAGGAGGGGTGGGGCATGTTTAACATGATAAGATTATAAATTTCTATTTCCATGATTTTCCAGACCAATCTCACCACAATTAGTAACATCCCAACTTGAAGAACATTACTCAAGAACTGCACCTTGAATGAAGATTTTCCAAATTATCCTCTTCTAATCCTAATAAATACAGCAATTGCTTCCAAGCATATGGGTGGTTATGATGGTTAAGTATGTTTCTATATTAGGCTTGTTTCTGTTCCTTAGAGAACCACAGAATCTCAGACTAGGAAAGAGCATTGAGGCCATCTACTCCAAAGACTTTCAGGTGCAAAAATCCCTCTGCAAATATCCAACAATTGGTCATTCGAACTTTACTGGAAGAACTTTCCAGAGGAAGAACCCTTTAAGTCCTGGGGAAGTCCATTCAATTTTTGGGTAATTCTTGTTGTTGGAAAGTTGCTGGGATTTTTTGGTTGGTTTTTAAAAACGTCAAGCATATATTTGACTCGGTAATTTCCACTCATTGCTCTGACTCTGATCTTCTGAGACTAAATGAAACAAATCTAACCCCTGTTCCATATCCCAATCTTCTAAATAATTAAATAAATGCAACCACTTCAAGTTCCAGTGCCACTCATACACAAGCAAGTCTTTCCACGGCAGGGATTCTTAACCTGGTGCCTGTGGACCCTCAAGGGGTCTGTGAACTTGGATCGTTAGAAAAAAAAATCTTTTTTCTAACCTCTAATTAAAATTTAACATTTCCTTCAACACTTTTTCTGACAAGGGACTTTACCAGACTGACAAAGGAGTCACACACACACACACACACACACACACACACACACACAAGTTAAGAACTCTAGTTACAGAGCAATGATCTTAGAGAGAGAACCTGGATATGCCTCTAAGTTCTGATACTTTCTAGCTTTATGTCTGTGGGAAAATCATTTAACTTCTATGGACCTCAGTTTCTTGATGAGGAAAATCATATTACTTACCTTATAGGACCAATGTGTTGAAAGTATGTTGTAAACCTTAAAAGTTTGTATAAATATGAATTAATTTTTCAATATTTAGTGGTTTCTTTCTCCTCCCCCCCCCATTAGATTGTAAATTCTGTAAGTACCCAATAAATTCCAAATGACTAATTCAACCCCCTCTGGAAAAAAACTGGAAGGTTTCCTGGGGACAGAAGCTTATAAAAGTAACATTGCTTTGTTAAAGGTCTTGCAAACCATCTTCCTTGTATTAACACTATCCCTTCCATAATTTTAAGAACAAAGATGCAATGAATAAATCAAGGTTTAAATATATCCTATAAAGCATTCTGATTAAATGCTGAGAACTCATGGCAATTGCAACCTTTGCCCTTCCATTTCTATTTTTAAAGCACACTGAATTCTTTTACTGAATTTTTTTAAAACTGCAATAGGACTGCCAAAATAGCTTCTGACTCAGAAGCAAAAAAAAATTATAGGGCAATGTATTTCCCAGAGAATAATTATCTACATGCAGTTTTAATTTGTATAACAGGAGTCAAGTTAATCTCAGTATACTACACAATGAAAAGATGGCAACCAACCGCTTCATTATATATATGGTATAAGGACATTCACTTCAATTGAGCCGAAACTGTGTTGTCTTATGTAGAATTAAATCCATATATGAAATCTGCAGTTTTAATGGGATGATTTTAACTTCGGAACACACACATTTTCAACATCTTGTGTATACTCTACTAAAATAATTCCTTACCAAAAAAAAGTCAACAAGCCAGAAAGAAAACAGAGATATTAGTATTTCTTTTATTAATAGTATTATCATTATCTTGGAAAGCAGGCCTCAATCATGCAATCATAATTTGTCAAAGCAGTTATGAAAGTAGCTTTTAAATGCCTTGAACAATTTCTTAGAGTCAAACTTCTAACATGTTAGTCAAAAGGACTTTCCTTCCCTACTTCCACAAACCATTTACATCAGCAGGTACAAAAATGTGATATTTCATATTTATCTAAGATAGGTGTTCAAAGCTAAAAATAAAATATACTAATAGAAAGCAAAAATAGTTTTTAACACACCAAATAGTTTATGCTTTTTATTCCAAACACTTTCCCCAAAACAACATATTTATTTAATTTTATGGAAAATACATTTAATTCCCCTTTCCCTCTTTGGATGAATGCAAATCTTACCAAGAGGCCATTTCTCCAAAAGAAAAAAAAAGAACAGTAACTTGCATGGAAACCAATTTCATTCATGATATTAAATATTATAATTTTATATCATGTTATGGTTTCTTATAATTTTTTTAAAGAAATGAAAGTGTCAGTTTCTTAATGAAAACTGCTTATACTATTGTAAGGCACATCTGAAAACCTCTAGGAATACTTATTTATAAGCAAATCATTACTAGCTTCAATCACATGTGATTTTTAAAAACATGGAATATTCCTGTACACATTTTGCTGAGTAGGTGGGATATTCAGAACTGAGAAAGAACAGGCAGACAAAACCTCACTGTCACCCCAGAAATTACCCACACAAATCAGTTAGTGCAATAAGCAGTATAGAATTATAAGTTGAAAGAAGAATGAGTAAATAAACACATGCTCCCTTGTTTTGGGGCTCCCAGATTTTTTTGTGTTTCACTGACAGCCATCTTTCTCTACAACTACAACTGCAGCCTGAAATATTAATCACCCTAGCTTTAATGAGCTTCCAAGGTGGCATCCTGGATCTATCTCCTTGCTAGACTTCAAATATTACTGTGTTTATAACTTCTTCTACCACAGTATTTAGATCCTACTCTGGTAGATGTTAGAGTGCTTACTTGCAACCTGGACATTGCCTAATGACTGCATCTGTTGTCAAACATTGAGAGGTGTTATTCCTAGAACTAAATAGGAATTTCTCCATAAGAGAGGGGAGGCCTAATAAAGTAGCTACAGGTGCAGTCAGCAACCAAGACAATGCAAAGCAGAACAGTTCGTATTGTCCCTTTTTCTGGGGTGGCAAGCAATACATGAAAATGCTTAAAAATGTGGTGTCTGATTTGCTAGATTTAGTCACTGGGGATTAGATAAGTCAATTATTAAAAATTTTAACAGCAAAATTTGATTTTTAAAGGGACAATAAATTGTCTTATCAATTTTGATATTAATATGAAGCTTTTCCTTCTATTCCCAACTACCCCTCCAAAGAAATCAGACTGCTATTCAGAAAAGAGCTTAAAGAAGAATACATACTTCTGCCCAACAAAATCTGAATCCACAATGACTAATAAAAAGGCTAACTGGAAGCCTCCCTATTTAGCAAAAAGGTTGTTTAGAACTTCCCTAATGATTGTGTTAGTCTGTGGTCACAGGGTTTGTTTTCTTCTATAGACTAAAAAAAAAGTGACTTCAAAACATGAATTAAAAATGGAGTTAAAGTATTTTTTTGAAGTGCATAATACACTTGATTAAGAGAAAACTGACATTTCCACTTAAATCTCTAATCAAATTCCTTGGAGCTTTTTTATGGTAACAATCACCAAAACTGTATGGTGAATGGCAAAATTGTTTAATGGTATAGATTTTTTCATTTCCAGTACAAAAAAAGTAAAATGGCAAATTATCACATATGTCCTAGAATAATCCATGCAGCATTACATTTATTTGCCATGAAATACAAGTTACCATTATATCAATATCTGACTGCATATCCTTGTAGCCTCAGGTACAGGATAAGGACTATATATCACAAAGGCTCAATAATGTTCCTGGCACTTTAGACATGCTTCATTGAATTTTTGGTAATAATAGCTTTTCAATATGCCTTAGTAATCACAACAATAGTTGTATGTGTGTATTTTAATATAAGATGACAAAACCAGACCTGCAGGGCTGATTCCTATTTCAAAAACATAGAAATGCATTTTCTGCATACCTTATAAAACAAGCTACTAAATTCACAAAGTATTCTTGATAGAAAAACAAATACAAGATATTTGGCACTTTGTGCAGCTGCAAAAAGGATTATAATCTCTCACTAGCCTTTATTCTCCTCTCAAAAACCCTCTTTTACTTTAACTACATGTTTCAAAAAGCCTCTAGTGTGAGGAAGACCACAATCCATGTGGAAGAAACTCAGTTTTCTCTGTAGGACTATGTATTAGAAAATTTCATGAAACAAGTTACACAATATCATATACAAGAAAAGGAACTCTTAATTAGAAAAATATTTTTAAAGAGTAATGGACAATGCTGGACTTGGAATCAGGAGAGACTTATGCCTGAATCCTACCTCTGATATTTTCTACCTGTGTGACTATGGACAAGTCGTTTACTCCCTGGGAGCTTTATTTTCCTCATCTGTAAAATGGGAATATCATACCTGTAGTTACCTAATTCACTAGGTTGTTATTAGGACCAAATGAGATAATATACTATAAAGCGCCATATAAATGTCAATTATTATTGCAGTGGACAATCTAGAGTCTGTTTCCACCTCAATGAGTTATGATATGCTATAATTACTAAATAAAAGGTTATGTTCTATAAACAATTATTTAATAACTTTGCTCTGATTACTAATATTAGCTGTTTACTTAATACTCTGAGAACACAGCTATGAACACCGAGTACAGAAACACATGTCTAAAATGCAAAGGTATTTTCAACAATTGAATAAATCTGTTATTTTTAATAAGTTCTTAAAGATTACTCTTTGTCAACATTGTCCTTGTCTTATCTATCATCAAACAACAAATCAAATTTGGGACCCTCTTTTCTCCCCCAACTCACATCATACAGCATTTATGAGGTACCCACAAAGGCATGGTGCTATGCTAGGCACCACACGTTATTCTACATATTTCCTGCATAGAATCAAGAAAGGGATATGTAAAAGCTCAATATAACCATAGAACCATTGCATAAAATAAGAGAAAGCAAAAATAGGCACTTCACAAAATTTAAACTAATAAAACTTGTTACTTATTATCATGACAAAGAAATGATACTTATTATCATGACAAAGAATTATCACCATTCATATTTCATAAAACTATGATATCATTCATTGATATAGCCATTGATATGAGATTTCATTTTGTGCAAAAATTCACAATTAAACTTCAAAAAAATCAAAGTTACAGTAACAAACATATCTCTAATACTCTATTGAACTTGGGAGCTGTGTGGGGTAGGGAAGCAATGGCTGGATATTTTCTAAGACCACTAAAATCTAACACTGAAAGTGGATCAACAAAAACACATGCAATGTAATTCAAAATAGCATTTTTCTGAATTCACAACTTTTAAAATGCCCCTAGCAAAAAAAAAAAGTAAAGCAAAATAAGGAAAATAGCTTCTTCCCAAAAGAAATGAATAAAAAAAAAATACTGTACCTACTGATAAGAGTAAGTTCAAGGTGCATGCTATAAAATTCTTACTAAAGTGATTATGATTCCTCCTTTTCTATAAGTAACCCAATTAAAAATAAGTCATACAAATTTTTGAAAGTTAAGACATATATATTAAAACCTCCATGAAAAGGCTACTTCAATGACTTCCTGTGACATTGGGGTAAGTTACCCTTACATTTTCAGAGGCTATGTGAGTATAGCTCAATTTCTGGCAGATCCTTGAAGGCAAGCTTGAAGACTTCACATATGGCCATGTGTATAGTGTGTCTGTTGTGTGAGAACTAGCCTAAGTTTGGAGAGGTTTATCACCAGAATGTTGGCCATTGTGATTTTTTTTTTAATCTGTAGCAACTCATGGAACCATCTACTAAGGTTAGGAGCCTGCATCAATGACATAAATGCCTACAGAGATGAAATCTCAGATGGTTTGGTTTCCTGCATTAAAAGTATTCAAAGTATTACCAAATGTAATGAATTTCAACCTTTGTTTTTTTTTTTTTTCCAATTTCAAAGCTTAACACTTTAGAAAGGGGAATCACACAGTCCTTTTTCATACATTATATAGAGGACCACATCAATCTATCAATCTTTAAGGCACCTTATAGAGATATCTGTGTTTATACTGTTAAATGCCTTGCAAAGGGGAATGGGTTTCATGACTTTGTTTTAAGGATTTTTTAAAAAAAACCTCCCTCTTTTCATTTTTCATATCTTGTTTTTCTGTATATACATAATTATCTGAAAGACACAGGATCAATACCTAAAAGCAAATACAACATCCTCAGAAATAATGTTTCTCTGTGTTTTTGGCATCAACATTTATATTAAGTGCTTAGCTCAGGAAAGCATAGCTATGATTTGTTTAAGAGCAAATCTACAGAATTTAAAGTTACACTTCAGCCAACATTCTATTTCAAATTCAAGCTGAAGGTCAGCATAATCCTTTATATGGGAAGTTCTTAATGCTGCCTGGCAACTTGTCTTATCAATTTACAAAGATTTAAAAAGTGGTATTTAGGCATATCAGGGTGACTAAACCAAGAATATCTTTTTCATTTTGAAGATTTTCAAAATAGGCTTTTTTTTAAGGTACCCCTCAAAGACCAAATTGCTTTTGGAATACCTCTGAGAAGACCAGAGACCTCTACTTTCTTTTATTTTAAAGAAACTAAGTAAAGAATGAAGGAGTGTAACACAACAGAACTGCTTTGTTTTTTCTTGTATAGAACACAATCTATCCTAAAAGGAACTATTTCTAGGTCAAACACAGACAGGTGTTTCAAGGTACCAAGTACGTTATTTTAAAGCTATTATAAACTGTGTACAAAACTGAATTTGAAAACTCAGATCCTAAAAGCATTATCTGATGCATCTTAAGACTTCCAAAATGAAAACAACAACAAAAATTGTTTACAACAGGAGTCACAAGCAGATGTCTAGGTCCCAATTTTAGGATTTGACCTCATCTTTGTTCTTTGGGATGGGTTCAACAATAGTTTTTTCCCTACCTAAACTGGTTTGTGGGTTTTCTGAACAGTTACTAGAGCAGTTCTTGCTATCCTCATCAAAGGAGCCTTTCCTTTCAGCTCCTGAATTTTCACAATCAAGGCTCTGACATTCACTGTCCTCACCTTTTTCGAGAGAAGCAGCATTCTCTTTTTTATCTAAGAGATTATTAATAGTTTTTTCTGGCTTAGAATTTGGACTTTCAGCACCGCTGTCCTTTTCACTATTTCTCCGCTTGGCAACTTCATTACCAGCTTCCATTCCAGGCTGATCTGCATTTTCTCCATTTTCTTTCCATTCTCCCTTATTTTCTTCAGCTGCTTTGCTACTTAAATGAACAGCTGTGAGGTTATTCTTAGATTCCTTGGATTTTTTGTGCATAGAAGATTGACTATTGTGACCAGAGACAGGAGATGTAGGGGTCTTTGCCGCTTTGCTTCCTTCAGGCTTTTGTTTTTTAGCAGGTCCCCAAATAAAATGATCTGGAGGGGTGTAGTGTTGTTGAGCAAACCGGAGGAGCTTCCTTCTTTCTCTTCTGTCTCTAATAGTATAAACAAAATATTCCAAAGCACTCTGCTTGATATTTGGAAGAGTGCTCTCTACAAGGGCCTCTTGAAGAATAAATTTTACAAGAGGGGATTTAAAATGTTCATATCCAAGCTCACCAAGGCTTTTCAGAATCCTGGTAATTCTTAAGTAGTTGTGCTGAGACCTGGAAGAAATTAACAGCAATCAAGAAAAAAAGCAAATGGAAAAAAAACTGGGAATCAAAACTACTAGAAAAGTTTTATGGACAAGTAAGAAGGTGAAATGTCATATTACCTTTAAATGGAAAAGGATCCTTGAAGGAAAGAATAAATTGGGACATTTTATTTAGACTAAGAAAAGAAGTAACATGAAACAGCGAGTAGTGAGCTGGCCTCCAAGCCACCCTTTGACACATAGTGGCTAAGTCGGGTAGATCACTTAACCTCTCAATGCTCTGGGCAACTTTCAGAGACTCTAAGTGGCAGAGGTGTTGACTTACATCAATGGAGTTTCTTCACCTGAAAGTTCCCTATCCCAATGAAGTCACAGGTTTTTATTCCTACAAGGCCTAAAGGTAATAGATTTAGAGAAGCAAGGGACTTCAGAGGTCCTTATGTTCAACCCTTTCAATTGCAGATGAGGAAACCCATGCCTGGAGAAGTTGTGATTTGTCCAGGGTCACTCAGTAGTTGAGCTATGATTCAAATCTAGGTCCTCTGACTCCAGAATCAACATTCTTCAAAATACATTTGCTGATTTGTGTGAAAAATCAAACAAGTCTCTGTAACACAAACACATTCTTTGTTTAATGCTTTCTATTAGAAAAAAACATACAGAATAAGAATTATTCTCAGTGATGTTGGAGGAATTAATATTTGTTTATTAAGTATTCTGAGAATCAATAGTATAACTAACCACTTAATTGTAAAAACACTACTGTTTTTGTAATTGTGATTTGTATAAGCATAACAAGGGCTGACACAGCTGAATGTTACCAGCTGCAGTTTGGAGGAGTTAATCAGCAAAATCAGCAGAATTAAGCAATTGGAAAAGAATGAAGGAAAAATTCACTTTGTGAGCGATTCTAACTGGTTTAGCAAAGAAAACAATTAAGAAGAAAAAAGGACCACCTTATTTACATCTGCTGCAAATCCAATGACCTTATTATTTTCTTCTATTCCATGGCATTCTCTCCAGCTTTTCCAAAGACTAGCTATCACCACTATTTTCCACATCCCAAAGACTGCTCCCATTTCAAAATCTAATACTTCTCTTTTCTGCACCAAAATCTTTTTATATAACAAAGCATACACAGCCTTCAGACTGCCTTTAAATACCTCAGCATACTTCTTCCAGGTTCCCAAACTATCTTATCTATGCTCTACCTCCCCAATTCAACCCAATCCCTACATGTTATTCCTAATGGCTTTTACCCTAAAAGTGTTTTCCACCTCCTTTAATCAGTGCCTCTACACAGAACTATATTCAGGGGAACCCTGGTGTTCCATTTGATATGAATGATGGTTCTCTGAGATTAATTCTGTTGAACCATTTAGAATTAATCATCCCACCTGTGAATTCCACAAGTGAAATCAACTAGCATTTACTAATTGCCTACAATGAGCCCAAAGGAATGTTAAATTTTGATCATTGAAACCTCAAAGATATCTTGGGGTTTACAGACTAGATTTCTTTCTTTGGGACCATGCCTTAAACCCAAATCACTCTGGCTCTCATTGATTGGCCAATAATAGGTCCCACCCCAAGCCCCACCTGGTCATTATTTGGGCCCTGATGACTGAGTGAATGTAAATAACAACTGCTTCTGTTTTGGCCAGAAATCCTGAGGGTTTTCCTCTCCCAGATTGATCCTTTTTTTTTTTTTTTGACTAGGTAAGAGGCCACTGTTTGTCTCATTTCTTACCTAGCCTTAATCAATGAATGGGCTTTGGCTCAGTCAAACTGAGACCTGTTAACAACCTTAGATTTAAAAGGCCAAGGTCTCCCACTGCATTCAGAGCCATCTCCAGTTGTCCTGATATATGTATTGCCATCTCCCCCAGATGACTGTGGAGGAGAAAGTAAGGCTTGTGACTTTGTACAGCCTTCACTCACTTAAATCCAATTCACTTGCAAGTCATGGCATCACCTACCTGATGTCATGGTCCTCTTTGAGAAGAAAGGACAAACAACAATATGCCAAGAAAGTACTAGGAATTTTTTTTAAAGAAAGCACAAATAATTCCTGCCCTCAAAAAGTTCATGATCTAATGGGGGAGATAAACAGCTATGTGCAAATAAGATATGTATAGGATAACCTGAAAGTAATCTTGGGGTGTAGTGAAGGAGGCACTAGCATTCAGAACCAGGAAACACATCTTGCAGAAGATGGTATTTTAACCAGCACTTGAAGGAAACCAGAATGTTGAAGTGAGCAGAGAGCACATTCCAAGCATAGGGAACAGCTAGTGAAAATATAGAATTGGGAGATGGATTGTCTAATACAAGGAACAGTAATTCCAATGGATTGTAGATACATGGAGTGGAATGAGGTATAAGATGACTGGGAATCATATGTCCCCAGAAAACTATTCCAAGCTTTGGACCTTTTTCTCCCTCTCCCCAACTCCAGCCACATTTTTAACTCCTGCCATAGTTCCAAAGAGACCAATATTCTTGACAGTCAAGAGAAGTCTTTTTTTTTTTCCTAACTTGTGCTCTTTCTACAACTCTATGCTACTTACCATAGCTCAAACCTACAAGTGGGAAAAGGGCAGGCTGTTGGATGAATGTTATAACTCCTGAAGAAATATATCAAAAAAAAATAATAACAGTGACTATTCTGGATTTCCATTTCACTGTGAATACTGAGTTTCAGTATTAGTAAAAACCAAGATGTGGGGCAGGGGGAGGGAATTCTGAGAATAGTAATACTCTTTCATACCTAATAGTGAAAACATGTCTGAAACCTTAAATAGATTTGGTTCTCAGAATTATAGCTGATGTCCCCGATTCAGCCCAAGAGCTATGTCAAGGAAATTTTTTAAGCAAAGAAATAAGTAGATGTGAATGGAATTTGTTTTATTTTTTAATGGGAACTCTGCCACTCACTTTATAATTGTACATTTTCCAATCTTTTTCTAATAGTGTGTGCATTAACATTTCCTGAGCACTACTAAATTAAAAGGGTATCATGCCTTTCTGCCTTCCATATTTGCAAAGCCAGTGACAATTGTATGGTCTTTGATTTAAGTGCATCTAGCTTAATTTGTTGAAAGGCAAGTATAATTTGCTTGCAAAGAAGTTGAACACAGGCAACCACTTATATATGGTCATAATACTTACCAGTAAAATATAAGCTCTATAAGGGTAGGAAGAGTTCTGATGTTTGTTTTTGTATCCCCCATGCATATTATAGTGTCTGGCACATACGAAATACTCAATAAATCCTTACTGAATTGAAGTAAAGTGAAGTGAATAATGGCAAATCCATAGGAATGAACCAAACTATGGGTATTTTTGTAAAGCTGGAGTTCAAATGGTGTGGGGAATGGAGTTTTGTGGCCTGCCAAAACAGAACAGAATCTCACTGTGTCTATGACGTTAAAGATAGAGGGTTGTCACTTGATTCTGATATTTCAGAGTTATCTTGTTCACTGCACTTATAGCTAACGGTTTGGCAAAAATGAAGAAAGCACTTCTACAGCTCAGTTGTTGGCACATTTGTTCTCCCACTCCTCAGGTGTTAAGACAAAATCCAAACATCTGAATGAGTTCTAGGTGGATAAGGATGTGATAGAAAAAAGGACAAAAATGATTTTCAAGTTGATATTGGCTCTCTAAGATCATTAAAGGATTGAGTTAGAGCTGCAAGAGTCTCTGTAAGTCATCTAGTTCCACCCCCTCATTCTATAGATGAGAAGACTAATGAGCAGAGAGTTTAAGCCTAAGTTTTTAGGATCCTATATCTAGAGCTGGAAGCTTGTTCAGAAACCATTTACTCCAATTCCTTCATTTTACAGAGGAGGAAAATGGTTATAAGAAATTAAGTGACATGTCCAAGGATATATAAGTAGTGAGCAACAGATCCAGAATCAGAACCTATGTAAAATCTAGCACTTTTATCACTGTACAATACATGTTTAAATCCCTCATCTCCTAGACTATTCATTACCTCTTTTACTTAAATATTTCAAATACAGTTATTTCCTTATGCAACAGAGTGACTTCTTTATGCTTTGTGAGAGGTCAAAACCAAAATTAATTACAAGTTGGTTGCCAAACTTCTGATGATGTCTCTATAATATTACCTAGACTGATTTTTGAATAGGCATATAATTCATAATTCTACTTTTTCCGTTTTTGTAGGACTTGCACTTTTCAAGCATAACTTTTATAAACCTGCAGTCACCTTCCTGCCATGATACATGACAGTAGGACCTAAGTGAAGTCCTTTTACATAGGGATGATGATACCCAGCCCTGTCATATGGTTATGTTACCTGCTCCATCTTTTCCACAGAGCTTTTAGAGGACCTGGGTTCAAATCTTACCTCTTACACTACCTGTGTGACCATGTAGAGTGAGGGAATTGGACTAGATGGCATCTAAAGACCCTTTTAGTTCTAGATCTAAGATTCTCATAACTGATATTTATAGAGTGTTTCAAAATTTATGAAACACTGTACCTATTATCTCATTTGATACTCAAAACAACCCTCAGAGTTGGGTACCACAGTTATTATTACCTCTGTTCCCCAAAAATTCCCCAAATGGGAAAACCAAAGTTCAGAGAGAGAGAGAGAGAGGTAATTTGTCCATAGTAGCATTTACTAAGTTGCAGCTCAGGGATTCAAACTCTCCCCTCTTAGGTCAATCATTATTACAAATCCACAATGTGTTCCAAATCTAGCACTTGTATATCATGCTGCTTCTTAAATATAATCCAACATGGCGAATGAGAGCAAATGGGAAATCCAAATGAAAGTTTTTCTAGGAACATCTGAAGAGAGAAAAAACAATTTCAGTTGGGGTAAAGGAAGGCTGAACTAGAGTAGTGACCAAGTGAGTGGAGATGTTGAATATGAGATGCTAGTAAAAAATTCACAGGAATTTGGCAAGTAATTGCATGTAGAGCATGAGGCTGAAGGATGAGTTAAAGATGTCTCTAAGGTTTTGAATCTGG